TCGTTTGAAATCTTAACAGGTATTTTACTATCGTTCTGTACCACTATCCTCTTCGATAGAATCTCGTAATAAAGCAAGGACTTCTCTTCAACTTCTCTTATACGTATTTTCCGTGGGAGCGAAACCAGTTTTGCGTTGAGTTGTGTTATAGAGTAATATAACCAAACAGTCTTTCTTGCTACGTATATACGTACATACGTAATAAGATACATGTCTCTGACATAAGACTTTCACCCCTGAGGCTCCTCCCTTCCTTCAATGAGTCCTTGTGAAAAAAAAACCAATTGATTTAAACATACATATATATATATGTGCCCATAATTATGAAAGTAATCTAACCATAAGTCAAAATTGAAAAAAACAAATCAGTTCATCAGTTACTTCGCATCACATTATTTTAAATTAAATGTCAGATAGTGTTCGTTATTATATATAGAATTCATTTTTATTAATTCAAATGTATAATCCTTTTTTTTTTCTTCGAATATCTCGAAACAAGAGATACATAACTTTAGACAAATTTCATAATTATGGTTACATATATATTTCATACTTTATTTTTCCTAATTCATTCATAATCTAGTGAATCTTGCGAACGACGATACCCAAACGATATTCGGACGACGATCGGATCGACTGACAATATCGATAACGATTCTGTTTATAACTTTGTACAATATATCTTGGAAACTCTCCCTTTCACCTCCCTCTCGGATTTTATTATCCAATAATTATATAATCAAATAAAACGAGGTATATAGTATAAGAATATATCGTTGTTGAACTTTACGTATACGCGATACAAGGAGTAAAAGTTCTTTGAACGAACTAACTTGATGCTTAGAATGTAGAAAGGGGAAGGGGGAGGAAGGGGAATATTGCATTTAACCCGAAGGAGAAGATACCTTTAAGAAAATCAAACGCATTTGGTTCTTCCACCAACGACTTACGTAAAATCTTTGCGTTAGTTCGATTACGTTGCTGCATGATCGCGACGCACCCGGAAAAACATTTTAGATTTGATGTATATAAGATCCTAATAAAACACCTTTCTCCAAAGAAATTTAGAAAGATTTGCCTGCATTATAATGCCAGAGGTTTATAAAATCGATATTGTTGGTATAAAGTATTGTGTTGGCACTAGTTGTAATCAGCCGTTATGTTTGTACATCTGATAAAACAACTTTTCTTATTGCAAATTCTAACTCGTTGTTGTATGCAACGGTACATGTTATCTTTAAACTAGATCTTTCAATCAGTTTCAATTCTATAATATATATATATATATGTATTATGTGTGTAGAAGAAATACTACAAAGAATGATTGTTCGTTATTAGAAAATATTAATAAGTATATTACAATATATATATATATATTTTTCTTTTTTGTATAAAAAAGAGGAAGAAGAAAGAAAAAAAAAGTTTGAGTTCATATGTTGACTCATTTCCGTATCTTACGTCCTTATGTATAATGCGTATCGATGCGTATCAATACATACCTATACCTATATATATATATATGATGGAAGTCACTGTCGCGATAAATTTAAAAAAAAAATAAAAAAAGGAAGATAAATAAAAGATAAAGTATAAAGATTAAGAAAAGAATTCGAAATCATTAAAAGGTATTACAAGTGAAGTGGGTGTGTCCATATTCTTTTGTCCTCGAACATATATATATATATATTTTTTTTTCCTTTGCTTTTACAATATTAGATTAGATATAATATATGATTACAATTTGTACGAAAATATTCGCATTTTGATGAAAAATTCAAATCAATGATGAAACAATATATCAAATTCAAGATTTTATAAAAAAACAATCGTGTAATACTAAAGGTTTCAAATAAATATCGAAAAATATAAAGAAGTTAGTTGAGTATTCGACAAAAGCGTTGTATTCAAGTAAAGGCACACGCACCCACGCGTGATATCTACGCCGTTAAAAAATGCTAAAATAGTTAGCAATATTCGCAGAGAATAATAACCTTGCTAAAGATGCGTTTAAAAGATATAACAATCTCCTTTTTTTTTTTCTTTTGATTGTTCCTCTAAACCTCGTAACACATTTCCTTTAAAAGTTATCGTTCGATTCGTCAAACCCTTCCACCCCACCCCCCTTCTTTGCATCGCGACACGAAAAGAATATTTCGTCATGTGTAAAAGAAGAAGAAAACAACAACGGGAATATATACATCGAGCTTTAACCTAACGGGATCATTATTGTGTTATAATCGTTACGTTAATCAAGGTTAATTTTCATTCGCATTTAAAATACTGGTGATAATAAATGACACTACGATAGTAATATTACAGCATACATATCCTTCTTTTTGTGTCCGTGATATCGATTAAATATTTATTTGCAAGATGTAATAAAACGAATATTTAGAAATGATTTTACGCGGATACGTTTTAAAAATTATATTAGAAACTATTTGAATTTTACTATACCATTTCATTTTCTACGTTATATAATTTAAAGAAACGATAAGAATATTTTCTAATAATAACAACGATAACCCGTGTACTCTGGACATCGAATATTTATCATTTTCTAATCAATTTTTTTGTTCCCCTAAAAATGTAACATCAACTATAGCAAGCAATAAAAACAGGAATAAAAGTAGAAGAAAAAAAGAGACGTAATTTAAAAAGTAATGAAGACAAAACAATTTATCGATATAAACAACTGAAATCGATATTTCAACGAAAATGCGTCATTCTTGATCATGACTATCTTACATGCTTAAGATATGATGATCATTTTATTTTTACACATTTAACGTTATATCCTAAGAATATCTATCTAACTCGATAATACATTTCCTTTGTTTTCTTTTTCTTTTTTTTATTTGTCATTAGAACAATATCATCCTACAATAAGTTTACATAATAACCAATAAGTTTGATTACATACCTAACACCTATGCATCTATATATCATCTATATATATATATATATATATATATATATAATATAAGAATCTAACTCGTTTTATAGATAGAAGTTAACCTGGATCTTATAACAAGACACGTTTACCACCGATATTCAATACTTGGTTTGCTCGATGAAGAGAGAAACGTAAGGCGAGTCAATCTCTCAGTTTCTCTTCGAACCAAGCCATGATTTCTAATTTATATTTCTTTATTTATTATCCTTTTTTATTAATCTTTTTCCTTTAAATTGAAATTTATAAAATTAGCAAAAATTGACGGACGGATCTCTCATTCGAATTCGATCCGAGATCGAACGTATGAGATACACGACACGTAGTAGAAACACACAAACAAAACTTTCAAATCTTTCCGCGTGCTCCTATGGTGCTTTCTCATTACAACGTAAATCAACCTATACCACCACGTTGATGAAGGAAAAAAAAAAAAAAGCTAACTTTCTAATCATACGATTCTCGTTTCCCGAACCCCCCAACGTGTGGAAGAATATTTTTTATTAAACGCCTTAGACAATACTTTGACCAGGTAAAAGAATATTATATTCGTATTTATATCTATAAACATAGTGTAGAAAACATTAGATTTCTTTTAGAAATAAAAACAAAACGAAAAAAGATAGTAATAAATGACAAAAGAGAAATTCACTCACCGGATATTTGTCCTTGTAAAAAAGCGAGCTCGTTGACATGTCGAAAAACTCGATTATGTAATATATATATATACATATATACATATATACATATATCGATTATTTTAATTACAACATAACATTATCCTTTTCACTGATTTATCTTCTTTTTCCTGATAAATTACTTCGGTTAAATCCCGTTTTAGTTGCATGTGCGCAAACGATAAACTTACTTCTTTTCTTTTTTTTTGATCGATACGTAAAACAAATTAAATAATAAAAAAAAAATAAATAAATAAATAAAAATAAAATAAAATAAAATAAAATAAAATAAAATAAAATAAAATGAAATATATCACACTTCGATTACATCCCTTTTTGTAAAAAATAGTATTTATTTCTTTATTTAATTATGTGAGATAGGGCGCAGTCAGACGAAGGTAGGCGCAGGTAAGCGCAGGCGCAACACCAACAGAAGCACGTTTTATCACCTGAAACGAAGCTACGAAGGAAATAAACTGGCGGAGCGTCTCCGCGTTGTCCAGTTTGTTAGCGGACTACAACGAGCCAGAAGGAAAACCCCTCCATTACCGCCCAATGACCTACAATCTAAACCCACCTGCCCCCCTCTCCTTTCTCTTACACTCTATAAACATGATCCTCTCTTAACACATCCTCTCTTTTTCTCTCCCACTCCTTTTTACACCACTCTATCTCTTTCTCTTCCTCTTTCTTTCTCTTTCTCTATTTATCTATGCTTTTATTTATTTATTTCTCCATAAAGATACACCTTTATTTCTATACTTTAAATCATATCTTCTCATTTTATATATTTCAGAATTCTAAAAAGAATTCATTTATCGTGTTAATTCTTCTATTTCATATTCCAATAACTTTGTCACAATATATAAATTTATAAAACTATTGCTAATTTAAATTATCTGATATTAAAAATTGCATATTATAAATTGTTTTCAATTTTTGTATATATCTATTTATTTCTAATATTAATCTAATACATATATCTTCTTCTAGTTCAATTCTTAAAATCGATTAATTTGATAATCATCAATAGATTTTTGAATTTTTCCCGCTTAAACACCTTCATATGTTATCAAAAGAAAATCTAAGCTATTTAATATACATTATTCATCTGCCATTTTGATCTAATTTCAAATGAATAATTATTTGACGAATTGTTTTATTCTTTTATTTATTGTTAAAAAAAGATATAACATTCTCGTTAGTGAAAAAAATAAATATTTCTTTATTTGAAAACGTGGACAAATACTAAATAAATGTTGAGAATAAGGTTTGAAGTTAAAATACCGGAAGATGCTTTTCGAAGTTCGATATATCGAAATTCGAGATACACCGGTGAAAACTAATTAGAATGTCCGGTTGAATCGATAGATCATATCTCGAAATATACTCGAATCAGATCTGCGGATGCGAACGTTAGTGTGCGGTATTTGTTTGCTCGAGTACTACTAAAGCCGTAGGAAAAAATGACTCAGGAAGGACAGTAAGTATAGCTAAATCCCTTCCATTTTGTAATACTAAATTTAGAAGCCTTCTTCGCGATCTTCTAAATTCTCTTAAAAACATTGATATCGTAAAAAATTTAATGCAAGATAAGATATAATTGCCGCCCCGTGGCTTTCGAAAGGCCGCCATATTGTATTAGGATAATTTTATTGATTCTCGAAGATTCTAGAAAACAGATTTAATTCGTTATATTTAAGGGTCTATTTTATTTTCTAAATTAATATTTATTTAGTTGAAATAATAATTAGAATATTATATGTTATTTAAATAGCATACATTTTCGATGTATCAATTTTGATAAAGACGCTGAACACGCGATGCATTCCCCCGGTGACCAAGCGTAATATCTTCCCCTCTATATCATAAGCCTTTTCTTCAGATTATTTATGCTCTTTTCTAAATGATATAATACACGTTCCTTTATAGAATAAAAAAGGAACGATTATATATATACCCATATCTATCTTCTATCTTCGTGACTACTATTTTTGTCCCATCATTTCCTATACGATTATTTACTATGCCGTAATGACCAGCGATTTTTCTCGATAAGAATTTTATTATTCTAACCTATAGAAAAGAATAATTTAAAAATTCAATTTCGACATAGGGTCAAAGTATAACTGTTACAAACCGATTAAAAACGATTTAAATCGAATAAATTTCTACATGGGATTTATATTTTTTTTTACTAATATTTTACTTTACTTGTTATATTTTATTTTGAGAGACCGGAATTAAATAATTACGCGCAATTCAATCTAATGAATTTTTTTATTTAAGATACTTATTCAATGATGTCTGAATGTGTAACGTATTTCAGATTACCTCCTCCACCTGTTATGTGGGCCCAAAGGAGGGATATTCTCTTCATTACTATATGCTTAGAGGATTGCAAAGATCCCGTTTTAAAGATCGAGCCAGAAATGTTACATTTCAAAGGTGTGGGTGGGACAGAAAATAAGATGCACGAGGTTACAATAAATTTATACAAAGAGATCAATCCTGACAAAACATTAAAGAATTTAGGGGGTAGAACTATAGAATTAGTACTCGTAAAAAAAGAAGAAGGCCCATACTGGCCAAGATTAACCAAGGAAAAAACAAAGGCTCATTGGTTGAAAAGTGATTTCAACAAGTGGAAGGACGAAGATGATAGCGACGAGGAGGGAGACTTCGAGGGTGGAAACCATGACTTGGAAGAAGTAGATTTTTCTTTCGATTAAAATAATAGACATTAATTCGTGAAATTACTTGTCCATTTTCATTGAGAGTCAGTGCATAGTAAAATTGATATGATTTTTGTGTGATTCGTAGATGATGCGACACATGGGTGGCTTAGGAGGATCGGGCGATAGCAAGCCTAATTTCGATGATCTTGGAGACGAGATGGATGAAATTGATAGTGATGATGAAGAAATACCTGATTTGGAATGAAGAACTTTTTAATAATACATCAAATTAATCCTCTCAAAAGAAATGACCTATGGATAGTGCACCGTCGAAAGATACTTCAGTAGGCCATGTGCTGTTTGTATTTTCGATTACAAATAATTTTTACAAATTTGTTGATGGCCGGATGTAGTAGCAAACAACCAAGTTGTGCGGTGTGCTAAACAAATTTCAATGGTAATTGCAGAAGTTGTCTCATATGAACAGTTAAAACACAGTTTCAAAGGATTCTTAATCCCTTTTTAGTCTGTAGTTCATACAATAAGTTAATGGACAAGCTTTTTTAACGAATTGTGTAAAATATCAAGAAGGTAAAATAATGATAACTACTTAAATTGTCTGGAGAATTGTTTATTTCCGTACAGCCCACATTAATAAATCAACGCTAAATAATTATTAAAAAGTAAATAAATAAATGATAAATAATCGAATAGAAAAGCAGGTTTACTTTTTCTTAAAATCATACACTACATTTCTATATATGTATAAATCTGTAGAATTAGATGATGTTGAAATTATGTAAAATATTTTCTGTCTGGTTAACCCTTTCGCGGCAGACAGCGCCTTTTGGCGCTCAGCTATAGATGCTCGCACCGAGCGGACAGCGCCTTTTGGCGCTTAGCTATAAATGCTCGCCTCCGAGCGGACAGCAGCATTGAGCACGATTCATTTTCGAGCGCTCCGCCGCGAAAGGGTTAAAAAGGGAGATTGAAACATGCAATTAAGAAATGTACGATATATATTTCTTGCAATTTAATGAAAATACTTAACCAACGATACTAGAAGCACCACGTAACGCTAAATATCCGGCAGTTATATCCATTGGCAGGCTACGAACTGTTGCAAATTCTTCAGCAGTTGCATAATATAACTTAGTTTGTGGATCTGTATACCGTGCCTGTGCAAATAAATGTGATTAACATCTGTGTTCTCATCTTAATAATATAACTTAACACATATTATGAAACTGATTTCCTTCAAATATTCATTTTTTTAACACGTTGAATGCAGAGCCGTTTTTATTATGCTTTTTGATCAGGCAGTTTCGTTTAGGCTATAGCTATAATGCAGATGATGTAAAAGTATATCATGTATAAATAAAAGATAAAATAAGATAGAAGAATAGTAAAATGTCCACCATAAAAAAAAATCAGTTAGAATAAAGAAACGAAAGACTGAAGACCATTCTGACAAACGAAATTATAATTCATTGCTTCTGTGTTATATTCAATGTTGTGTTTTACAAAATAAAACATCCAAAAACCATATCTTTGATTAGAATGTTATAATAAACTTCATTCAAATAATACATTTATTAACTAATCTTATACTTTCGGTCCCCCAGAAACCAATGTACTCAACGTGTTAAATAACGCATTAGCAGATGAAATATTTCATTAGACATAATATTTCGAAAGACAAAAAGTACATTACTATTCGTATATTACTTACAGGCAGGCCAGATATATCAGAATACTTCTTTGCAGGTTTAAAACTTGGTGGTGCATTGATAGCACTATCTGGAATTTACAATTAAATGTAAAATTATTAACATTGATAATCTAGCCAGTGGTAAAAATTTATTCCATTTATAATAATATGGTTTATATATATATATATATGTTCCAACATATATTTGCATTTTTTTTATAAAAGTAATTTGCGCTCGCTAGGGAATATTAATAAAATCGTTTACTCTTGACATTGACTGATCTATTTTCACACTACTGTACTTTTATTTTAATTTTAAATATAAATTAAAATATCAAAACTCATACAATGTACTACTTCAGCAGGCCATGGTAAACTACGTTCCTGTGCCAGAACCTGCTTAAGAGATCTCCAAGTTCTTTTCTTCCCAGTATTACTTATTGGCCGAAATTGATCGTGAAAAGTTGGGCTTTTAAATACAGGTTGAGTCTTCTTATTACCTTCCACTACTTCTTCATTCACCATCTTAAAATCCAGATGTTAAAAATTAAAGCACCTTTTACAATTACTTATAAACTATGATTTCTATCATACTCATCTTAGAATTTTACATTTGATAACAAAATATGTGTATCCTATAAATATATATACCTTTTCGATAAAGCATCTTTCGGGTAGTTTAAAATTAATATTTGATTTATTTCGCAACCAAGTATAGCACAGATCATATGAACCATAGTTATATTTTGATGCTTTACCAAAACTTTTGCCCAATGACTTATAATCAATAAAGCTTTATAGTACTCAGTAGAATCACTAAGGACAGTTTTTATAATTAAAACTTATGGGTAGCAAATCTTAATATAAACTTACTACATATTATATGTAGATATAAAAATACCTTGAAGATTCAATATAATATCTACATCCTTGCGATAAATGTTTCTGTATAATACCAGACAAATTATTTGTACAAAGGACATATGCTTTTTCGCTTGGTTCAATCAAACACAATATTGCCTGCTTGCATAGCAAAACTTTTTGTTGATATTTTCTATCTATCTTTTCAAAATTTGAGCAATCGATCTTCTACATGTACAATTATTATAATTAACAAACTAAATAATTTCTATACAAATGTTTTATGTTATCAAGTAAATATATATCATATATTTCTATAAATTCATACTACTAGTTTACCTCTGTTGCTATATATAATGATATATGTATATATTTCTTGATAAATTCTTCATCTTTCGTATATAGTTCTAATAATTTAGTATTTAATTCGCTTTCATATTCCATATATTGCATTATATTATTCGTTAAATTGCATGCGATATTATTATGTTTCTTTTTATTTTGTTGCGGACAGTTCATAAGAGAATTATTTTTTTTCAAAGTTGTATTTTTTAATGTGTATTTATTATATTTACCATCCAAAATTCCTTGATACTTCTTAACGCGAGAATTTTTCTTGTACGAATTTAATAATTTATGTTTACCTTCCATAACATTTCTTTGTACTTTTATTTTATTAATTGTTTGAATAATTGTAGTATTAATATTTTTCAAATGAGATGCGAGAACCGGAATGTTTTTAGAATAAACAGATTTATCAAGGATGTTTGTATGATTTTCTATGAAATGTTGTATGTCGTAAGGATTTGAAAAATCAAGATTACTTTGATAAACATCTTTCATTTTCTCGCAAATATTTAATTTTTTATTTGGTATCTTATATGTATTGTCCATGTAGGTTAAAAAATGTTTTCTATCCGATCTCCCATAGCCCAAGCTTTGCATAAGCGAATGTACTAATTTATCCAAGTTAAATGCCGGCGTGTAAAGCATACTTATTCCAAAACGATTATAGTTTACTACATTTAAATGTATCAATCATTCGTACAGAGCAAAAGAGCTTTAGGATATGCAACATAAATGTGATAGCATTTGTCTTTTATTCTTTTTTTTTTTTTAATTACATAAAAATATCGCATACAAAGTATATATATCTTAAATATTAATTAAAATAATTAATATATGCAAATATGAGGCATTCCACACTTGCATTTCCCAGGAGGAAATTTTTCAAAATATTCACGTACGTAAATATTGTAAGTGTTATAAATTAATATGATTATTTATGAAAATATATTATAATTAAAGGAAGCTATCATTTATATAAATGTGCCAATATTAGAGGTTAGAAGTTAGAAACCTGATAAATATTCTTATTGTAAATGGTCGATATAACTCTTACAACGATATACAATTTATATTTACCTTTCTTAAAGATCAATCTTTTTTCTCTTGCGCCTTAAAGATTATTATTAATTAATCTTTAAATAAAATAATAAAGTCATACATAAAAATTGAATAGTTAGAAGCTTTTGTCAAATCTATCCGCGCGGTTTAAATGCACAAATCAAATGCATCTGTTGCGTTTGATGTCACAATGGCGGGTATACCTATAGCGAATCAGAAATAACTAATGGTTGAATGAATGCGTTCAATGGTAACGTCATATGACCTTGAGTCTTCCACGTATGCGCATTGCAATCCTACCGAGAGACACTGAAATTCGATAGCAGAACAAATCTAACGTGACAAGACTCACCTTCTTACTTTCTTGAAGGTCATAAGGACGAACAGTTGAAAAATTGTCTTTTAGAATCGATCAGTATCGAAACGGATTTTATTGAATATTTTTACTAGCTGTGACTCTATCAAACCAAACATGGGACGAAAATTTTTTGTCGGTGGAAATTGGAAAATGAATGGAACAAAAAAAGAGATCGACGAAATTGTTGCATTTCTTAAAGCCGGTCCATTGGATCCCAACGTTGGTATGTATTTTTTAAAGTACATATATCGCATAGATGTACAGTACAAGTCAATTTATTTCTGCCACCTTTGCTTGTTTTAACATTATACAAACTTTATAATGAAAAGAATCTATATACAAATTTTTCTATGTTTCATTTATAACTTCTTACTTGACATTACATGAAGGAAAAGAAGAAAGATTTCAAAGCTTATTAATTAGAGAAACATTATAATCGATTTCCAATTCATTGCCTTATTTGATTCACCCTATATACGATAGTCTTTATCATTTATCTTTATGTTAATATTCTTTTGATATTTTATATTTGTTAATTGCATCGTTTGTTTATTTATTAAAGATAATTTTTAGTTATAATTGAGTAACAATTACTTTCGTAATAGTTTTATTATTTATTTTATGTAGTACTTATGTAATAGTGCTGTAGTTATTTATATAAATTATTACAGATGTTGTTGTTGGCGTACCAGCTATTTATCTGACATATGCAAAAGGTATTTTGCCTAGCAATGTTGATATTAGCGCTCAAAATGCATATAAAGTACCTAAGGGAGCTTTTACGGGGGAAATCAGTCCAGCTATGCTTCTTGACAATTCCATCCCATGGGTAATTCTTGGACATTCTGAACGTAGAAATGTTTTCGGAGAAACGGATGAATTGGTTGCGGAAAAAGTTGCCCATTCATTGGAAACTGGATTGAAAGTGAATAATGCTTTTATCAATGACTTTTTATAATAAAATATCTATGACTCTGATAAAATTCTAACGATTTTATTATTATTTCATAGGTAATAGCTTGTATTGGAGAAAAATTAGAAGAACGCGAGGCTGGGAAAACGGAAGAAGTAGTTTTTCGCCAAACAAAAGCTATTGCAGATAAAATAAAATCGTGGGATAATGTTGTACTTGCGTATGAACCTGTTTGGGCAATTGGAACAGGTAAAACTGCTACGCCTCAACAAGCACAAGAAGTCCATGAGAAATTAAGAGAGTGGTTTACTAAGAATGTGAATGCAAACGTTGCTGAAACAGTTCGAATTATTTATGGTGGATCGGTAACAGCGGGAAATGCTAAAGAATTGGCAAAAGAAAAAGACATTGATGGGTTTTTAGTAGGAGGTGCTTCCTTGAAACCTGATTTTGTACAAATTGTAAATGCCAAGCAGTGAACTTAATGCTTTGATGTTTCTTCTTTCCCCAATTATATGTTCTAAAGAAATATCATTGGAACATATATTTTATTTTACTTTGTTAAAATTCTAATTTCCAAATTGTAATTATTAAACATCATCTACAAAGCTCAAATCATAATAATAAATATTTTTCCAAACGGCCATAAAATAAGATCAAGTATATATTACATTGTTAATAGAATAATTGTTTAAAGTAGGTACAATAAAAATAACTAAGTATTGTATAAGTATTCTACCCCTCATATATTTTATTCGATTAAACCATCTGATATAGTAGTAGTCGATTCTAATATTTTATTTCTACTTTTAAGTCCATCTTGCTGTGCTCTTGCACCTGCGATAGCAACTAGAGATTTAAATGTTCTTGGTTCCCAACAAGCTAAATCAGCTAAAGTTTTATAATTTAGTAAAATATTACATCTAGTTAAGGCTTCGGTAAATGTTTTTTGTTCCATATCGTGTTCGGTCAAAGCTGCATTGCATCTTGTTAGCCAAAGCTATAATTTTAAATTCAATAATTTACATACTTGGAGCAATGAAACGACTAATATTGTATACTTTGTTAACATTACCTCGCGCATATCTTCTTTTTTTAATTTTCGTCCTTTGGTAGCAAACATTAAGGATCTATGAACACCTCTAATAGCGAGAGAATAACAATTTCTTCTTCTACCTATAAAATGCTGTGTAAAATATAATTATTAGAATATAATTATTAAAATATAAATATAATTATTAACTGTGTAAGGTAATCAGAGGAATAGCAGATATAACTATTACTTACAGCAGCAATTGCGAATATTTTACGTTTTCGCCAGAATTCATCTGGTCCTCGAGATCGAACTAATAAATTTAACGATAGAAATACCATGATTTTTCACAGAAATTAATAATTATATTATAATAATTCTATTATAATGTAACACCATGTATTTTTAAAGGTTATTTTTTGCTTTGATATCAATCAACACTGACTGTCACCTAACGGGAAATATCGATACTAAATTTTTTTCGATATAACCTTAAAAAAGTCACGTGAAGTGCATTGATGTGCATGGTGCATACTACGTTCGTTTGATATTGATATTTATATTTATATTTTACCTTTTAAAAAAATAAATATACATATATATAAATACCTTCACATAAAATGGCCGGAAAAAAGAAGTAAGTAAACTAATTGTACAAATTTTTAATAGATTATATTATAAATATATCGAGAATGTTAGAGATGCATAATTATTAAGGAATAATAATATAATAATATCCTCTATTTGTATATAAGATTATTGCAAAAAAGAGTAGACTTAAGTCACTTTAATTTTATACATAATTGTATTTTATAATAAACTTTATTTATCTAGAGTACGAAATGCATTCAAAGTTGAAGACGCAGGAGATGTAGATATGGATGAAATCTCGGATTCTGATGACCAATATTCGGAAGAAGATCGTGAGTTACTTAGAAAAGTAAGAATAAAACGAGCACCAGAAAATTTTGATAGCGACGACGAAGTCTATGGACTGCAAGATGATGAAGAAAACGAAGAGGATGAAATGGAAAACGAAGAGGATGAAATGGAAAACGAAGCAGATTCTATGGAATCTGATATAGAAGAATTGCAAGATGATTTCGATATACCAAATGAGAAAGCATGGGGCAAAAAGAAAAGAACATATTATTCTACGGATTACGTAGATCCTGATTATGCCACTGTTAGTCATAAAAATCAAGTTATAGCAGAAATGGAAGAAAAAGAAGCAATAAGCATTCAAAAGAAATTAGCTGAACGATTGGATGATGCTGATTTTGGTTTAGATTTTATAGAAGTAAAAAGTGAGGACACAAAACCTCATCAAGATGAAGAGGAAACCATCAAAAGAGATTTTACCAAACTTAGTAAAAAACAGAAACGTGAATTAGTTCAGCAAGAAAGTCCAGAATTTCTGGCTCTTGTTGATGATTTTAAAGGTAAGTTTTATATATTATTATTTGACTTATATTCTCTTCTACATTATCATAAATTATAATTTTTTTACAGAATGCATGAACGAAGCTAAAAATGTACTTTCACCTTTTTTGGAACTTGTTAAAAAAGGCATATGTCCTAATTGTCCTGCATTGGACTTTGTTAAAACTAGGTATCAAATAATATTAAATTATTGCGTTAATATTTCCTTTTATTTAATGCTAAAAGCCAAAAGATTACCTATCAACTCGCATCCTGTTATTAAACGTTTGGCTCAATATCGCCAACTTCTTAATGAAATGCGTTCCGGAGAAGGAAATTTATTAGAGAAAATTGAAGAGATATTAAAAATTAAAAAAGAAGGTGGATCTCTTTATAATATATCAGGTGAATTGGTGACTTACTTTGACGAGAAGAAAAAAGTTATTGCTGAAGTAAAAGACAAAAAAGATCGAAAACGAAAAATAAGCGAGACAAACGAAGAGGAAGAGTCTGACAATATCACGGATGATGAATTAAACGAAGAAAATAATTTATCTGAAAAGGATGAAGATAAATTGAACGTTGAGGCGGACAACCAAGAAAACAAAATATCGGAAGAAATGCAGGATACGGAAGAAAAAAGAGCAATTACATATCAAATAGCAAAGAACAAAGGTCTTACGCCGCATCGTAAGAAAGAGCAACGAAATCCAAGAGTCAAGCATAGGAATAAGTATCGCAAAGCAAAAATACGTAGGAAAGGAGCTGTGAGTATTAAAATATCTAATTTACTAAATTATAAATATACGCGATTCTCTCTCTACATGCATATCTTCTTCTTTCAGGTGAGAGAAGTCAGGAAAGAATTAACTCGATATAGCGGAGAAATGTCAGGAATTAATGTTTCCGTGAAGAAGAGTATAAAATTGAAATAGTAAATACATGCTTTAAACATTAATATAATTGAACTAATATGGAATTACTTATTGTATATAATATTTAAATACAATTTTGGTATATTAGTTATCAGACTTATCGCGTATAATTAGAATAGCATTTATTTGATTATGAGAAACAAATAAACAATTTTATTTATGTACGAAAAAATGACACTTATCTTAACAATCGTTTTGCAAAGAAAATGTAAATGTTAACAATCTTTCCTCTTATACATCGTTCGTATTTATTTTACATGTACTCTTGAAGATTTATCAAATAATTTTTATTGAGAACTTACAAAAAAATTAATTATCTTATTCTGTACTTGGTGAACATTTAAACTTCTAGTTTTGCTAAAATGTCAGATTCACGAAATAGATGATATTCCTTGTTGTCTTCGAGTTCAACTTTTGTACCTCCATATTCGGGCAGTAACACTGTATCACCGACTTTAATACTCAAGGGAACATGTTCCCCTTTCTGAAAGAAATATCAATTTCATGAATTTCTTTTTTAACATAAGTAATAACAAGTATAGAACATTACAATTCATACATTGTTTCGAGAGCCAGGTCCTATAGCTACGACAGTTCCTTGTAAAACTTTAGCCTGTGCTTTTTCAGGAAGAACAATTCCTCCTTTCGTTTTTGTTATAGCTTCTGCTCTTTTTATTAAAACTCTATCGAACAAGGGTATAAGCCTTTTAACGGAACTAACAGCAGCATTGGCGGCCTGTAAATAAAAACTTATTCCTTTAAAATGAATCATAGTTATTGTACTAATTATCATTAGATTAATATTTCAAATAATCAATACTTTTAATTGTTGCATTGTTAAGAATTTAAACGAGTCTTAACTATTCACAAATTTGTAATTGATAACTTTTCAACAAGAATAATCACTTCAAATGCAGTTGCAATCTATGCACCACTTTTTAATGTAAGACGTACAATATACATTTCATATAATACAAAACTTTTCAGTTATATATTATAAACAAATGCCATCGAATCGACCGTTCGCAAACGTTGTCAGGGAAAAAAAAGAACAAAAAAAATGACGTGTAACAAAGGAACAATTGTATTTTATACGTAGGAAAATCATTAATAAGTAAGTTTAAAGGTTATCTGAAATAAAATAAGTCAGGCCCGATCAATGATAATGTTAAAAAGTGATTCGTAGTGTTAATTGAAAAGAACGAACAACGTATATACGAAATAGTATCGATCATTTTAAATTGACAATTAAAATGAAACATTTATTAAAATTTTTACCATGTTTAATCGACGAGTTATTTCTTTTAGTTCTGATGTATCTGATTATCTTGTACCGGCAAGCACAGTTGCGCACGTTGTGTAACCTCCTCGTGCAAAGAAACGAAACTTACCCTCTCCTATATTTTCTCGAAAGTTCGTATATTTCATCAGAATTCTAACCCGAGCGCCACGTTCATCGATTTACTCGAAGCTTCTGACGAGATATCATTCGTGTTACGTAATCATCGTATGCGTTTGTTCATCCATCTTGGAAATAAATGTAGATAATATTTCTTTAATTTATTAGTTGTTATCAACCTCGTAAGCTTTTTAGGACTATGTAATTATAAGATAACAACAATATGTCGTTCTATTTTTCTTTTTTTTCTTTTTACATTTTCATACATTTCAATGCAAAATTTATCGTCAAATTTCAGAATCTATCTTTCTTATAAGATTCTCAATAAATATTTCGATATATTAGATTTTATATAAACATTAATTTATATTAATTTTAATAGGAGAAAACTCGAATTGATATCGAAGAAAATTTAAATCATTTATCGATATACATATACGTATATATAATATACCTATATATTTAAATAACTTTTAAGCTGTTTTTTTTTTGTATTCCTGCAATTAAAGTATCGTACATTTATTTAAATTATATTTTAGAATAAATTATTAATATTATAAAATAGAAAAAGCAATCGAGTAATAATATTTTACATTTATACATAATTAGGTACATCTCCTAGTTTATTCCTGATATATGCAGAAAAAAATGATTGGTCGAGGCAGACATGTTGCATCATCGAAATCTGGGTACATTCTAGAAACATGAAGCTCAATATCGGACAATAAATAAATGCTGTATTTTAATAAAAAACGATATCATTTTATAGTAAAAAATCTTCATGTAAAATTTGTCTATATATAACAGATTTCAGTAACACAGAGTCTAAGAATTTTCTAGATTTTTTGAATGAAATTTAAAAGGTTAGGTTAAGGATAGAGTAGGAAAGGGTGGGGGTAGAAGAGACGTTCGTGTGATTGCGCCAAGTTCTCTCATATCTTCTCGTTCCATTCGTAAGACAAAGTGCGGTCACGCCGTGCCGATTTTCAATTACTTTTCACAAAGCTTTATCGACGTTTCTATTTAAAAGTCTTTTCTCTTGCGAAATAAAAGGTAAATAAGTTCATTTAATAATTTCTATTTCATCTATAATAATATAATATATATGTATATAGAAAATTTAATCAATCGATTTAAACCGGCCGGAATTTGGGTAGTATCTATCTTCTTTCTATGAATAAGATTTTTTTCTAGAATACGGTTAAATTATTTCATTTAGTTTCAAATAAGTTATATTTTCTCTTGGTAGACGCATAAAAGTTCTTTAATGGCTTAGGTAATATTTTTAAATATCTGTAGGAAAGATCATTTATCAGTACACGCGGCATTTACATAACCGCAATTGGGCTTGAATAAGAATGAATTTATAATTTATTAGAGTTCATAGTATGTACATTTATCAAGATTCCTTTTTATTTTTTCGTAATATTCTTGGCTTACTTTGGAGCTAAAACATTTCTCAATTCTGTTTTTTTATCTTCTTTTTTTTTTTTTACTCCGACATTTAGATACTTCACAATATATTTTTATATCGTATTTTATTTAATCTTCTTTTGCATTTTGCTTGTATGTTTAGATGTACAGATTACCAAGCATGATGCGCTCCGTAGCTCTGCGCCAAATGCAGTTACAGGCGCGAACTTATGCCAAGGATGTTAGATTTGGTGCAGAAGTACGAGCACTTATGTTACAAGGTGTAGATATTTTGGCAGATGCAGTAGCTGTAACAATGGGTCCTAAAGGACGTAATGTTATCTTGGAACAAAGTTGGGGCAGTCCCAAAATTACCAAAGATGGTGTTACAGTAGCTAAAGGAATAGAATTAAAAGATAAGTTTCAAAATATTGGAGCTAAATTAGTACAGGATGTTGCCAATAATACCAACGAAGAAGCTGGAGATGGAACTACAACGGCTACTGTTTTAGCGAGAGCAATAGCTAAAGAAGGTTTTGAAAAAATTAGCAAAGGCGCCAATCCTGTCGAAATCAGAAGGGGTGAGAATATCATTGCAATCTTGATATTAATTTTATTATTCATTTTGCGTAATTATAAAATATCTAATAATATAATATATTCTCGATTGTTTTAGGAGTAATGTTAGCTGTAGACAAAATTAAAGAAGAATTAAAGCATTTAAGCAAACCCGTAACAACGCCAGAAGAAATTGCTCAAGTAGCAACTATTTCTGCTAATGGAGATAGCGCTGTTGGAAATTTAATTTCCGACGCCATGAAAAAAGTTGGAAAGGATGGTGTTATTACTGTTAAAGATGGGAAAACCCTTCATGACGAACTTGAAGTAATAGAAGGAATGAAATTTGATAGAGGATATATTTCTCCATATTTTATAAATTCTAGTAAAGGTGCCAAAGTAGAATTTCAAGAGGCATTGTTACTCTTTAGCGAAAAGAAAATATCATCTATACAAAGTGTCATACCTGCACTGGAATTAGCAAACTCTCAGCGTAAGCCGCTCGTTCTAATCGCAGAAGATATAGATGGTGAAGCATTATCAACTTTAGTTGTCAATAGATTGAAAATAGGGCTCCAAGTAGCTGCAGTGAAAGCACCTGGTTTTGGTGATAACAGGAAAGCGACTCTACAAGATATGGCTATTGCCACTGGTGGTATAGTTTTTGGAGATGATGCAAATCTCGTTAAATTGGAAGATGTACAGTTAAGTGACTTGGGCCAAGTTGGAGAAGTTGTCATTACGAAGGATGATACGCTCTTTTTGAGAGGTAAAGGAAAGAAGAGTGACATAGACAGAAGAGTAGAACAAATTAGAGATCAAATTGAAAATACCACGTCCGATTATGAAAAGGAAAAATTGCAAGAACGACTTGCGAAGTTAGCATCGGGCGTAGCAGTTTTAAAAGTTGGTGGAAGTAGTGAAGTAGAAGTCAACGAAAAGAAGGACCGCGTTCACGACGCGCTTAATGCTACTAGAGCTGCTGTGGAGGAAGGTATTGTTCCTGGAGGTAAGTTTATTCTATTATTTAATTATATAATTAATTTATATCATTTCAATATTAATTTTATCCATTATTTTTTAGGTGGAACTGCTTTGTTAAGATGTGCTCCAGCATTACAACAATTAAAAGCATCCAATAGCGATCAAGCTACAGGTATTAAAATCGTAGCAGACGCGTTGAGAATGCCATGTTTGCAAATCGCACAAAATGCAGGTGTTGATGCTAGTCTCGTAGTTGCAAAAGTCAGCGAAGGAAAACTTGGTTACGATGCATTAAACGACGAGTACGTTGATATGATAGAAAAGGGTATTATCGATCCTACCAAAGTTGTACGCACGGCGCTTACGGATGCAGCAGGAGTTGCATCATTATTAACGACTGCAGAGGCAGTTGTAACTGAATTGCCTAAAGAAGAAACTCAGGGTGGGCCTATGGGTGGTATGGGTGGCATGGGTGGTATGGGTGGAATGGGAGGTATGGGTGGAATGGGTATGTAATTAAAAGACTGAATATCCTACACAATTGCAATTGAAATCCGTAGAATCAGTTCAAATATTAAGTTACCGTTTGAACGATTAAAATAAAGAAGAGGTAAAGATCAATCTCATGATGACCCACGGAGTCATAATAGTACGTTCCATTGTTTTTTTACGCATTTGTAAACGTTACGTCAAATACATACACATATTTCTGAAAAATTACGAAGGTTCTCTTTTTATCAAATAATTTAAATATAATGCAAATAGCATACGCTGTGGATAATATAATTTGTGTATAAGAATATATTACATTGTATGTACCCAATGTCAATGCTCAAAAGATTTGAGTATAAAAAATATTTCAAGTATTTTGTGTCTATACAACTTTTATATTCTATTTGATTATTTTGGTTATATAATTCAAGCGAAGAGAATAAGTTTTTAAGATCTGTTTTAAATAAAAATTGTACCCTATATAACATTGAAACACACACGTAACTCGAGATTAATCATCGTCTTGTGCATAAAATTTGTATTTTCATAAATAAGAACAAAAGTGTATGTAAAAATTAATGCCTTTAAATAGTTCATAATCTCTGTTTTTTTTTTTGTTAATGCTATTTCTTTTTTTTTATCTTTTTCAATATCATAGTTTATTTTCACTTTTGTAATTTCAATAAATACAAAATTATTTTACATGTTTCCTCAATAAATCCTGTTGTTTATATACTATAAAAAAGTTGTCTTACGTGTAATACTTAGAGAGTAAATTCATTTCATTCATTGTACATGCCATGATTTGTAATGCTGTCATACAAGTATGAAGTAAATTTTATTAGGTACTTGTACGTAATTATATGATTTTTAATATATCGTAACGCGTACAAATTAGTTATCTTGTGTAATTTTATTTTTACATGGGCATGGAAAAGTAAAAATTCTGTATTTTAAATATATACAAAGTCGAGGAAAATAAATGAAATTATATCAATCTATTATTACTGGATAAGAACATTTTGTGTTACAACATATAAAAATATCTTGTGCCTTTCTATAGGAAGTACACCATTGTCATTACATTACATGTTGCAATTTTATTTCTTTATATTTCTTATCCAATTGCCATATCATTAATTAATATATGTTTTAATAAAAGATACATTAAGAACAGTGAAAAACAGGCGTCTAAAAAAAGAAGTATGGGCCATTGGAAAAGAAATATATGATATTAATAAAATTTCTTCAATACTTCATTTGGACCTAGAAATATCTGATGGAGAATCGTACATCTAGGCACTCGGTATATCAAATGATTTAAGCACCAATCTTTTCTATTTCATCCGCATCATCTGCATCGAGGTAATGTATCTTCTTTCCAAAATGTTTTTCTATGTCGTTGCATAACTGCATTGCGTGGGATGAGTCTATTAAATTAATAGCGATTCCAGATTTTCCGAAACGCCCCGTTCTACCAATTCTATGTAAATATGTTTCACAATCAGCTTGACGATCTTGATCCATTGGTAGATCAAAATTCACAACTATAGTTACTTGCTCCACGTCGATACCTACAAATTTCATGATATATAAATGGGTGTAAAAATTTATTTCTCGCATCATTTAATTAAAATTTCACATACCTCTTGCTAATACGTTCGTTGTAATAAGAACTTTTTCCAGGCCAGCTCTAAATCTATCCAATACAGAAATTCTTTGTTCTACGGTTAATTCTCCTGTTAATAAAGCTACTGCATGACCATCTTTTGTCATTTTTTCTGCTAACCAACTAGCTGTTTTTTTGGTCTAAAAAAGAAACCATCATTTAATATATATGACCAACTATTATTATAGTTATATAACCAATAAATACAAAAAATGGAATCATACGTGACAAAAAATAATAGCTTGACCAATAGTTATAACACCATAAATATTCGTAATAGCTGCATATTTGCCATCTTTGTCTTTGCATTTAACGTAATATTGTTTAATATTATCTAAACTTTCTTCTTCTTTCATCAATCTTATTATAAGAGGATTGCTAACTATGATTTCAGCAAACGACATTACTGCACTCTCATATGTTGCTGAAAAAAACATCATCTGGCATGTGCGTGGAAGTAATCTATAAATAAATATAAAACAAGAATTAAATATCATTTTCTACTTTAGAAATGTGCATTATGATATGTAATATATCAAATATGTTACTTGTGAATACGAATACATTGGTCTTGATGGCCTTGTGTTGCTATCATTACATCAGCTTCATCCAGAACAAAAACTGAGATTTTGCTTAAATTAAAGGCTTTAAATTTCACTGCCCAATCTAAAACTTTTCCTGGTGTACCAATAATGATGTGATCTGTGATTTTTGTGCCACGAGGAACTAAAATTACGGAACTCTAATAAGTAAAACTTGTATGTTTTAAATGAAAGTTACGTTTAAATGAAGGATATTACTTTCTTCCCCTCTAACGGCATATTTCAACTTAATTTCAGGACAAAAACGAGACATTTTAGCAGCAACTTCTCCAGTTTGTATTGCTAATTCATATGTTGGCGATAAAGCAAGCACTTGCGGATAATCCTTAGTTGTATCTACTCTACTTAACATAGCTAGTACAAATGCCGCAGTTTTGCCAGTTCCAGATTGGGATTGTGCAATCATATTATGAGGCCTACAAATTTGTAATAATTATTATTTCTTATAGTTATGTTGATTTACTTTGTATTAGATTTGATCTAATGTTTGTTAATTTATCATATTTTACAACTTACGGATCGGCAAGCAAAGCTGGTAGCGCTGTTTCTTGAATCTTTGATGGTGCATTAAAACCCATCGCATAAACTCCTTTCAATAATGCAGGTTTACTAAAAATATATATAAAATGCTATATAAGTAATAATATTTTATAAACATCTTACATACACACATAGAACTATAATTATGACTTTAGAAGTACATATAAGACACATTATGAGACAACTCACAGACTAAGCGCTTCAAAAGATTTAACGCTATATAATGGAGATGACGGATCCTTCCTCTGCACCTCTATACCTTTAGTCGTTTCCACCAATCCTTTTCGTATAATTTTTTGTAATAAAGACTTTTCTGCCGGTGAAATCTGTTCGTCTGCACCATCGTCGCTCTTAGAATCCTCGTTCGAACTCGTTAATGTTTCTTTTGACTTTTGATCTAGATTAATATCTGTTACCTGTAGAGAGAAATATGAATTCTTATAGATAAGAATTTAAAACAACCATATTTAACATTATGCATGTGTAGTAATGTATTAGGTTATTCTAAGCTTTAATATTAACTATAGTTGCAGTAAAATGTTTCATTGTTATATTTAATAGATGGAATAAACAAAAAGAGTATGGTTATACCGGTGTTTTATTACATGAGGATGACATTACCTTAGAAGCTAATTCATCTTGTTCCTCAGCAAATTTCCCCCAATCAACTTTGGCAGAAGCCATTTTTGTATGGACACTTTGCTAATATCGAACAATAAAATGAAAACTTTATAAAAATAAATAATAGACGATTATTATTGTAAAGTAATGTTGTGAGCGGCATAAGCTATCAGAAGTCAAGTTTAATCGAATCATCCAAGAAATATTTCAGTCGATACATATGAACTTTCTACTATTACCAACTACTGCTACCAACCGTTTTTACACGTCTGTTTTTACATACCGAATATACTCCAATATATTATATATATGTAAATCTATTGTTTAGATTTTCTTATGGAAAGTCACTTAAAAGGTGCTTTTTCATTAATCGATACGATTTGATAAATAACAGAAACACGCTTTCATTTAAATGCGATGGCGTTCTTATAAATCGGCTATAAAACTATAAAAAAATGTCGGCCATTTTTTTCCCCAAGACTTTTGTTCGATCCACGTGCAACGGTGCATTATAGTTATATATATGCTAATCATTTATAGGTTAAATACAAAATGAATAAAAATTTATGAACATTTATATTTTTTATGCATAAATATTTAACGTCATAATTAATAGAGATTGTATGCATGTAATATATTCAAATGATTAAAAAAAAAAATAAAATATATATATATATTTTTACAGAGAGAGAAACTTATAAAA